CAGAAAACCGGTGGACTAAACGTTGTGAAGTGTGGCTTGTTGACCAGTTTAACCATTGAGAAGAAAACTTACATCGTTATATGATGTCTTATGATGTTATGATGATTATACTCGATGGTACCTATGGTCCACAAATAGCATATGCTTTCACAATAGCTGTTCGATGTACTTGTGATAATCATGATCTGCAATCGTGACATTACGTTTCAAACTGCTGCTCAAAATATATCAGTGGTATGGAACGGACTTCATGCCGTATGCTCTTCTTCTTCGTGTAACCCCAAAGCAGGAAGTCTGCTGGGGCGAAGTCAGGTGATCTTGTTGACTAGGATTGCTAGAAGTGACGACTGATGGCACGTTCTCCGAAAATGTCCGGGAAAACTATTTTTCAAAGGGTTTGCAATATGTGGTGGAACACCATCTCGCACAAAATCGTTTGAGGCACCATACCACCTTCATGAGGGTGAGGACTTCACATAGATCGTCAGTAAATCATAGTATCCAGTCCCTGTGACTGTCACGACTTGGTGCCCAGTGGGTGTTACTTCTTCAAAGCAATGTGGCTCCAGGATAAATCTGGCATTGATGCCAAACAAAATTGGGACTATGGAGTCATGGAGCGGCTCCTAAACGTTAACTTATCGATTTTCATCGATCTAGATGAAGCAGTTGCGTGCATTAACTCGACCAGAAATGTAAAAATGCGCATCGTCCGTCCATATTGGACGGGTCCTTTTCTTTTCACTGCGGGTCCTTTTCTGGACGAGCAATACATTGCAAGACAAATTCATAGCGCCAATCATCATCACCTGGTTTCAGCTCTAGTACGCAATGCATTCTGAGCAATTTGTGCCGTAACGTTTGCCTAACGGTGTTTTTATGGATACCCGTTTTTCATGAAACTTCGCCACTGATGGAGGCTCCAAGACCGATCAGTCTCGGCAATATCCATTGTCATTTGGAGGACCTCAGCAAGGGCTTTATGGGACATCAGCTACACTAATAGTCCGTAGCATGAGTGTAACATGTAACATGAGTTATGTTTGTTGAAAACTGTTTGCTGAAATGCATTAGAAGCAGTATATTGAAAGAGGAACAATATTTATCCCCAACATGAAACGCACATGACCTAATTTGTACCTCTTTACCAATGCATGAACTAAGGCTATATCATTCTTTCGCCCACCCTGCAGCATGGTAGCAGACCGTCTACATCATGCGATCAATGAGGTAGAAATGAATCAAGACGCAGCGGAAGATCACATGAATCAAATGAAGGAAACTTGCAGAGTGGAGGGGGAAGAAAGGAACTCCGTGACTTCATGTTTCGTTAGTGTCCCTTGGAGACAGTAATCCAAGCAATTGAAGTTCTAATAAAGGGAGGATGAATATGCATGCGATTTTGAGATGGCTTTACATCTAAAGAAATGTGCTGTTACCAAGTTTTGCCAATAAACACTTCTGGCATAAGAGAAGTTCACCACACTAAAATTTAAAAAAAAATCACACTAAAAAATAATTTGAAGGTTGAGTTGAAACAGAGGTTATTCAATGTCATGAACTATATGATAGACCTGCTATCACTGTTTTCATGTAATCTCGTCCTAAGCTATTGAAGAAAATGGTTTTATGGTGCTTTACGTAAATGGTTATTCATACACTTGTTCGGTTCCTGTTAAGCATTTAAATATAAAATACCTCGTATATACATATTCATTAGTGCATTAATTTTTTTCATGAGTGATGAATCTTTGCTGAATAAGTTGTCCCGCACGATAGTCTGATCAACCTACAACGAAAGTAAGGAATTAATGCGGCATTCAAAGCTACAGAAATGTTGCATCCTTGTTCAATCGTCTGGTTCTCCATACAAACGATAAGCCGAACATGCACTAGAAAATTGTTATGCTACTCATAGCGGCACACTCTATAGCGTGTTCAACCTGGGGTGGATATAAATTCCTAGAGAGATGTTTATGTCATCGACTTGGTATTTTGACATGGACTGGTTTCAGTCAGGGTGATGGTCTTTGGAGAGGTTCCTTCATGATCTGCGACCTTATCACACATAGATAAGCCTGCACCGCTTGGTGAAGATAGGAAGGAACGCATTCTTGTCGTAGAGAAAGGGACTGCTCCAGCAAAATTGATTTATTTGGTGTGATGCTCGGATCGCGTGTGGAAAGGAATGTGAACAATACAGCAACTGCGCTCTCCGTTCTCTGGATACGATTTGCCGAATCCGAAATTGGGCGATGAGTGACTCGGCGTTGGATGGGCTGATTGGGCTCAAGTCCATCCTGAAAGACCCTAACATAATCATCAATGTGGACCAGTTTCTGGATAAGATGGTGGCGAAAGGTCTCATAACCCTCAGGGAGGAAATCGAGGCGCGAGAAAAGGAAGGAAACGTGGAGAAGCTTAATACTGCTTTCAGGTTCCTTATGGAAAAGGAACCACAGTTGACTTTGAGGAAATTAAAAGAAATTATTCGAGATATGAAGAGAGAAGACATTTTGAGGAAGCTTGGCAATGAGACGGTCCGTAAGTATTTCCAACATTCCAAGCATATAAAACAATATTTTGAGTTGTCTTCAGCCAAAATTCAGGTATTCGAATATATTGCTACTTAAATAATATTTTTTCACCTGTTTACGGAGTTTGGGGAATATCACAAAGCCTACCGAGCAGCAAAACCGGAAGGTTTACCTGCGAATTTCCTGACTAATCCTCTCGCCGTTTCTGAGCGTTTCCATTCCAGACCTTACAAATTGCATCGTCTGAATTTCGGTCCAGTTCGCACCGTCCCCTTGCAGGTGTCACCCCCAACACCTCCCGATCCACGGACTCATAGAAATTCCCAGAGGAAAACTGGACTTGATTGGTTCTAATTTAATGAGACTGCCCGGTATTCTTATGCGAGGGGGAGAGAGATCAGAGAAGAAAACGGAAGGTCTATGTGTCCCTTTCAACTTTTTCGCGTTTTTTTGTTATTTCCATTTCTTGTTTTCACGAATTTCCTCGCTTCCGTTGGTCCCAGTGACTTTTCGTCCTGGTTTTTCCCGTCCACGGAAGTGTTCACTCTGGTTCGCAAGAAGACCGTCCGTAAGTATTGACAATTTACCAAGCATATAGGGTTTTCTCATCATGGGTTTTTTGGCCTCTTTGATCGGAGATTCACCGGTTGAGAAATCCAGTTCAGGAATTAGGCGGGTGCGCATAGTACCGACAAATTCTAAGAGACGATCTTAGTCGTTATCGTCCAATTCATAAGAAAAACACTTTAAATTGTACGGGTGGCAATTGTGTACGTGGATAATCCTTAAAATGTATCAAACGGATATGCAGGTTTTAACGCCATTTTGTGATTGGACTCATGGCAATCTTCCGGTGTACAGCAGAGTACATGCGATTCAACCTTCTATTCACTTTGGTCAAACTGTTAATAATTGAACCTGTCGTTTCCATCTTCGTTACCTACCGAACACAAGTAATTTATGCCGGCGTGGGCACTTCAGGAATTCTAGGAATCCCAGAAAACCATTCCCTTACATCCCATGTATGCTCCCCATAAAACAGTTTTGTTTATTACACACATTGATGGATCGGATACTACACATTAGTGGTCTTCAGATTCCAGACACTCAACTGCAATCACGGGAATCGTATATTGGGACAACTTGCCCGAAGTCACATTGCTCCAGGGCATCAAATGAGGAGCATCAACTAGCAGTTTTGCCCTAAAATCATGGTACTTGGTGATTGTTTCCTTTCAGCTGCGTAACCTGGTGGTCCTAGTAGCACATAGCCAATCTCAATGCACATAACAACTGCATAAAATTACGTCCCAAAATTTCGTTTCCAAATAAATTCGGCTGTTTCAGTCAGCGGACTATTTCCTTGCACATATTACCGATATGTGATGTAGCTCGGGTAGTGAGGAACATTTAGTAACATTTATTATTAGTTTTACTATCAAATATTAGAGAGCTTCCTTTATTGAGCAGAGACATGCATTTTAAGTGTAGCGCCTCGCAGGGATTGTTCACCAATAGCAATTGCTTCTTGGAAATGGGTGACCACGAAAATAAAGGTAAGAAGACATTCACATCAGAAGGAAATCATTATTGAAAATTTAAACTTAGAGACATTTGAGTTTCGTGTATGTGTCCCTTTTTTATGTTATTCTCAAGGTGTCACATATGCTTCATCCATTGAGACATTGACTTGATTCACTTCCTTGCCGACAGAATCTTCGAGGCCATCAGACACCAGTGCAGCAGCACCTCGCCAGACGCCAAAACTACCGAAAACTGCATCAGTTCCAGCAGCGGCGCAGGGAAAATCTGTTGAAGTGAATTCAAAGGGGTAGGACATTTCTATATCAAAACCCATCGTGATCCAAGAGATTAAATAGTTGCCATTATTACAATTGCCCTCAGTCGAAAGGCAAAATATGAGATGAAAATCGTTTCGGGTTATCCATGTGTCTCGCAAATAGTTAACGCTTAAAATAATGCACCGTATATGGATGCTCATCCCTTTCAAATCCTTCTTCAATTTTGGGAGCATAACAAAGTCGCATGGTGCCAGATCCGGAGTGTGCGGAGGGTGCTCAATATTGAAATGCAACGCTTGGTGAAAAATCGAGGCTGAGAAAGGGCGTCACGTGCTGGTTCATGGTCGTCTTCAAAGATCCATGAATTGGACTTCCATTAGTCTAGATTAAGGTGTCTTTTAATCTCGAAAGATGCTGCATTTGAAGGACATTCGTCGAACGTTCAAGATGTTGTCCTGAAATATGTCAATGATATCCATCTCACAAAGTCTTTTAAAGATTTAAATTAAGTAAAGATTCGCGCAACCGACAGTAGATGGCGTCAAAGTAGTCGTTATAACGGGTCAATTCCTTATATTCATTATTTCCTGGCAACTGGAGTCACCCTACTTACTTTGGTTTTGCTTTTATTGCTTACCATGCCCAGCGGAACTTTGAAGGGATGACGTAATACCATCTGTCGTATAACTTCAGCATATTCCAGAATTGCAATTAAAATAACATTTGAGAATCATAAAATGTTGACACCTGCAAAAAATATCAAAGATGGTGCCTAATTTCCCTCTATTTTACCCTCGTTGGGCAATTTTTTTTTTACAGGGCATGCAAGCCATTCACATCGAAGACTACAGAGGAGGTAATGAAAGCGTGCAGAAATGAGTGTTTCTACTGTTTAAAGCGGCTAAATCAGAACAACACCATAATAGACCACACAAACAACAACAAGCGGTACGTTCAAACAATATATCTCCTATGAAATATGTATTTATCAGAAGCCATTCAGAAAATAGAGTGCATTTGTGCAACCTATTTGAGGCGCTTTCTCGAACAGTGATGAATATGTAATGTTGAATGTTGAATACATTCCCAACACATTTCATGATGTGCCGGGAAAGTATTCATAATTGCTTTAACATATTTAGCGAACACTGGAAGTGCTTTTCTCCCGTCATGGACTTCCAAGAGGAAATAATGCTAAAATCTGTTTCATACCATCGCAATTTAGAAGGCATTATCAAATAATCCCAAAACGTGTTTGTATTTTTTCCCATAGGGAGCGATGCAGTAATGATGAAAAATATGCTGTCGCCAGCTGCAAAGAGTGCAGTAAAAAGAAAGGCGATATGACAGCCTATGAATTCCAAGACAAGGTTCTCCAAGTGGCACCTCGCTGCCAAGAATTCACGAGAGATGGATACAGATGCAAGAAACCGGTATCTGAAGGAAATCGAAAATTTTGTCATCAGCATGAATCATGACGCCCATGGAAATGTGATGTATTCTTTTGATATCGTAATATCTATAACAATGAAAATACATGTTTTAACTTTCGCTAACCATATTCCGGGGAAGGGGGTCCATTGGACCCCCCCGGGTATTTTTCATTTCATAACTCTCCGCAATTTTTTCAAAATATTCTTCAAATGTCATATGGGTTTCACTGTCGAACATCCATTCATTGAAAAACTAATTTTTAAAGTTTGGATTTGCTTTTTAAAAAAAAAACATTCTAAAAATATTTGCCCTTGCCCGTTTGTGTCACAAAAATACCTTGTCCGGATAAGGGTTAAACAGTGAGCCGGAGCTCCAATGTCTATCCATCTCAATCAATTTTTCAACGTAGAATTTCAGGCAAGAAGAATAAAGGGCTTTCCTCTTCCAGGGCTCCAGCGGAGACAAGGTGGTAAAACTTCCCAAAAACAAGATTTTCAACTTCAGTTTTTAAAATTATATCATAAATTGAGTCATGAAGGAACTTCGGAGATGTCAATTATCAAACGGGATAACGGGAACCCTCGTGCACGTCAACCCTATGTTGCACTTGTACACGATCCAACTCTTTTTTTTTTAAGACAAGACCTTAAATGGGTCAAAGTGGTTGTGGTTGAAATGGTTCAAAGTTTGTATGCCCAGCCGCCTCCCAGGACAAGTGTTCATTGCAGTCACAGTACCACTGGAAGTTCAGATTATGTACCTAAAGGCCAATTTCATTAACCTTGAGAAGCCCGTTTGCTTGATCAAACGAGAAGTTTATGTTCCAGTGTATGAACGAAAGCTAAAGCCAAAGGTAAGGAGGAGAAGGAGGGAGGAGAAATGGCGTAGTCCTGGACCATTACAATTGATATTAGTATACGTTTCTAAATATAAAAAGGGAAAACTACAACAAAAACAGTTAAGGAAAATTCATTGGAACGAGCAAACGTTCATAGGCTACTTTTGGGAGAACTTCAACTCTATAGCATGAGTGTATTGCATGCACAATTGTGTCTGGTTTCTATTCCATCCAAATTGTAGGCTAGGAATTAACATATGTTGGCTTCAATGTCAGGGTAACGGCTGAAGGTAGGAGTTAAATGTATAACATTTCCTAGTGGAGTAGTCATGATATCAGTAATTTCTTAATCATTCGATGAATGGCTGCGCCTTTTAACGATGAATTGATATGAAACTTTATTTAATGTGCAAATAAAAAAGTGAATAATTGATTTCCATGGAACTCAGTTATGAGACAATGGCATTTTGCATGGTTTTAAAGTTGCTCTTAAATATTATTTCGCTCTTAGGCCTTAGCGATAAAACCAAGTTCAGCAATGTGACATTTTTAGTAACTTTGAAGGCAAAGAATATACATCGTGATGGATAAAGGATGTCATCAAAAGATAACATTGCATGTCACCGTTTCGGTGGTGTAGAGGTAGCACATCTAACCGGTAATCATGAGGCCAGGGTTCAATTCCCATCCATCCCTTTTTTTGGCTTCTCTTACCTTCCATGTCCCGTTGCTTGAATAAAACGGGGAGACATGGAAAGCTGAAACGTGGCATGGATGTGCCTACTGACACAATAAGTTCAGTAAAAAAAATGCAAACTTTTAGATCCATGCCCAGGGGGCATATTTTTTGGGGCCGACGTTTTCAAGTATGTTTTTCTTGTCCTGGTGTATTGACCTAGTGTGGAAAGATGAAACTTGGTACATAATTACCTACTGGGATCCTGCGTGCAGAAACATTCAGACTTTGGAATGAAATGCCCTGGGGGCATAAATTTCAAAGGGAGATGTTTTCACATAATTGTTTGCGTTAGTTAAACCGATGGACATGGAAAGCTGGTACTTTGCATGAATGTGACTACCAAGATAAGGAGATAAGTAAAAATTTTCCTCAATTTCCTGATCCAGCAAAACGGAGTGTGCCTGAAAGTTTAAACGTGGCAAAGAAGTACCTGATGAATATCTAGGTAGAGAAACAATTATACTTTCACATTATATACTGTATAGATGATTGTGAGTAGCTGACTGACTGACATAAGTAGCTATTCACATGCTGAGTTCAGGAAATATTCCACCTTGGTGATGCACGCCATACACCTTTTCGGGGAACATACTTTCAAATAGTTGTCTTTGCTTCAATTAAACGGAGACCTATGGGAAGCTGTAACATGGCAAGAACGTGACTCTTGAAGCACTCAGCTCAAATGTCAAATGTCGAATTTCCTAAATATTTTTGGGGGGCATATTTATTGGGGACGTAACGTTTCCAAATAATTTTTCATATCAGAGCGAATCGGGCAGAAATAGAAAAATAGCAGCTGGCGCAAGCATAACATACTTGATGTTGATTTAAGGAAAAATTCAACTTTTGCTAAGCGTCTCCCCACACCACAGCTTTTGGGAGGGTTGCCTTTCGAAATATATTTTTTGACCGCCAGCAAAAAGGAGAAACGTATAGGGTTGAAACTGGGTGGCATAGAGTTCCCTGAGTCAATATTTCAGAATAAAATTAAATTTACAAAATATTTTTGGGGTTCATATTTATTGGGAACGTAACGTTTCCGAATAATTTTTAATATCCTACCGAATCGGGCAGAAATCGAAAGTAGCTGGCGCACGCATAACAGCCGTGATGTTGATTTAAGGAAAAATTCAACTATTGTTGTGCATCTCCTGAAAGCGCAGCTATTCGGTGGGTCGTTTTTCCAAAAACATTTTTTTATATCAACAAAATGGGGAAACGTATAAGGTTGAAATTTGGTGGCATGGAGTTCCCTGAGTCTACATTTCAGAAAAAAAAAAAATTTTCGTTAAAACCCATCAAGGCATTTTTTCAGTCCCATTTTCCTGAATTTGTTTTTGATCTAACAAAACCGAAACATAAAACTTAAACATCCCTCAGAAGTACCTGTTTGATGGCTGTGCAGAGGAAAAATCCTACTTTTGAAAAATGTTCCCTTAGCGTGATTATAGGAGGGAAGTATTTCAAAATTTATTCTCCACCCTTACAAAAAGGGACACAAGAAAAGATTTCATGTTAGGCACAATAAAAATAATATTGGTGAAGACTTTGATTAAGATCAAGGTTTTTGTCCCCATATATCACGTATTTCAATGGGGACGTACTTTAAATACTTGTTTGCCATTTCGCAAGGAATAAATGAATTAATGACTCTCCAAGGTAATGGAGCGCAGAAGGCGCAACCATAGCGAGTTTGTTTGCCCGAAGGACAAACAAACTCGTTAGTATGATAATAACGTTGTTCGTCTACCTGTTTGTCCTGGAACTCCTCCTCTCCCGCTCATCGCATCCGAGCGAATCCGATATCGATGGAGAGCATGAAACCTCGGAAAGTTACAGATCTCATTTTTGTCACTTTGCCTCTGAAACTCGAGGAGTTACGGCATCTACAACGTACCATCTACGAAGCGCAGGTAAAGTAGCAGCTCGGTGGTAGCGCGTCGGGCTCCCCTGACTACGGAGCACGGTTCAAAGCCAGGACGAGATGCATATTTTTTTCCGAATCTAGGCCCCTCCTTTCTATGGATTGGAGGCCCCAAGCACAAAGCATTGCCATCTATGCATGTGAAACCTCATATAATGAGAGTGATGTAAGCTGAAACAGGGCTTTGCTTCCCCGAAGTCACAATGGAGTGGAGCGCGGGCTTTCATTTGCGCGGGCCCTAGCCTCGCGTGACCTACGTGATGCCCGCGAGACGTGCATGCTGTTCTAGAGGTGCGGTTGCGGTGGGAATGAGAATGCATCACATAGGAACTGCGTGGCACGTGAATGAAATACAGTAAGTTTCCAAAATTGCATGGATGTCTACCTGCCCAATTACTCTTCCCGTTGTTTTCCTATCTCTCACTTGCAACTTAAATTTTAGGCAATTTTCATGTTTAAGTGTAATATTTGGTGCTATTCCTTGCAAGCTCAGGGCTTCCACATGTTTCTAACTCTCTGAGCAAAATTTTAAACACTACCCTTGACACGTTTGGCCACGACGTTGCTACAGAAAGATACATGGGATAACGAATGTATACCGTGCAAAAGTCGACGTCATCCTCGAGAGCACTGAGACAAAATAACTCAAGTGGTTCCTCGAGGTATTTCTAAAAAACGGACCCGGTAGAACAGGAAAGACATTCCTGTAAAATGCGCCCGTCCACATCGCGAGTGTAACGCTCGCCGTCATCTGGCCTGGCCGGTAAGTATTACTCGTACGTCTCTGTACTTTAATAGCTACACGCAAACTACCTTCACCTTCGCGAAACAAGAATATTAAAATGAAAAAAAGGATATTAGAAATTGTCATTTTGGGATGGTTCGTATTGGTCGGACGGAATCAGTGGCCGTTAGACAATGATTCCAATAGACTGGGTTTTCACAGGATTTCGTTTATTCTATTATATTCTCTCATCGACAAAGTACCCAAAATGAGATTGTACAAGATCTTCCTCAGCACAACTTCGCGATCGACAGCTTTCGCTTTTAAATGTGAATGAACAAAAATGAAAGAACTTTTACGAGCAAGAAAATGATTCAGCTCACCCCCTCGATTCAGCACTTTCGCGAGGTTTCGTGATTTGTTTAATCACGGCTAAACAACGAAAGCGGAAGGGGTTGCTCGGGCTCCAACCCTCCGTACGCCCACAATCCGATTTCGGCCTTGCTATTTCTATACGTCCCTTCTTGGTCGAACCAGCAAGGAACAGAATCTGGCCCCAACCAGATCTACCCAAGCCCGCCTACAACCAGCACTTAGGCACCTCGGCTCCAACCGAGTAGAAATAGCAAGGCTCTGATTTACCAACAGAGACCCTAACCCGGTGCCTGATGATAGCAGCAGCAGCGAAATCCGGAACCCTTCACCAACCTCTACCTTCTCCTCCTCTCTCCACCCTCCAAGTCGAGATTTGTATGCTCTTCTCCATGAATGTCCACGTCACGGTAAACTCCGACGCTGAATGGTCGGAAAGCCGGAAGGATGTTGACCGAAAATGGATTCAGGAGATGAGGGGGAAAGTGGTCGACCTCTGATCCCTCTTGACAGCAGAATCGCGGCAAAGCCATAGATTTCACGAAGGCCGCCAGTCTGTCCTCATTTGTCGCTGTCCTAATTTTCTGTCATTCTCCTTTGTTAATGATGAAAGGACACGTATAGAGGAGAAGTAGCAATTCATTTCAACCTCTTCAAACCATAGCCAGGCGCCTGACTAGGGGGGGAGGCGATAAGTCATGGCGGGCGCTACAGATACAAATCAAGGCCATCCTTAGCCCCAACAATGTAGAGGCACTTGAATTGAAAGATACATTTCTGACACGAGTAGCGGGGCGATCCAAGACAGTTGATTCGGTATCGGCTCGGTCGTATAAGAAAATTGGAAAAACTCATCCATCGAAGTACGCACCACTTCCATTGGATATCGGTTGCTGATTCTGCAAGGGCTCGCATGAGACTTTCAATATTTGGATGTCTTCTGTGGTTGGCCTTCAGCTCCAACTCTGCCCACAGCTTGTTGTCCATTAGGTTCCCAGATGACCAATCGGAAGCCTTGATGAACTCGGGGACATTGCTGGCTAGCCATTCCTGCGTTGTCCTAACCTTGTTCGCAGGTTCGGAGGCTTGCTGGAAGATCCAGTTGCCCCCATTGGACATTGTTTAGCTGAGAGGCTTCACTGACTTCTCAAAGACTTCTTCCTGGTACACTTTGGTTGATGTCTTCACTTCTTGCTTGCAAAAATACACCTTGGTGACACCCTCATAACTCACCCCCCACCAAACCATGACAGAAGCAGTACGGTGACCTCTCTTGACCTTATGGATGGCTTCTGCAGCTTCCCAAGAGTTGTGGGCATACACTTGGCCATTTGCCCAGTTGAATTTTTCTTCAGCAGTGAAGATTTTCCCATCAGTAAAGAGGATTTTGTGATGTCTGTTTTGTGCGTACCTCTGCAGCAACACTTTCGATCGCGACCTACTGATTTCTTTCAGAGATGGAGTTAGCATGTGTCCTGTGCTTCTTCGGTAAGCACCCATCCTTAGGTCTGATTTAATCAACCGATACGTCCTTCTAGTCGAGATGGCCATTTCCCTGGCCGTCACTTTCTGCTTGCGTAGAGGATTTCGCTGAATCCTGTTGCTAACTACTTTGATGACTCGTGGTGTTCTGGCAGTGGGTGGACGTCCAGATCTAGGGCGGTCTCGTACTCTTTGAGTATCATTGTAACGTTTGATAGCTCGGTAAAAAAAACTGCCGACTGATTCCAAGTGGCTGCAAAGTCTTGAATTGATAGCAGGTTTCTGACCCACTTTGTGCAGGGCAATCACTGCTTTGCGATTCTTTTTGTCACCCCACTCCATGTTTATTGCACGCAGCACAACATCCAAAAGTTACCAAACAATACGGCAGATAATACACTACACGATTGCCAGGTTACAAGTTTCTATCTTCTTTCGCTAGAATGCAAGGAACATGTAAATCTTGTAACAGTATGTATGGCACAACTTGGTATATTGGTGGTAGTGCGCCGGGCTCCCATGACGGGTGATCATGTTTCGAAACTCCACTGAGTTGTGTCTTTTTCCGGGTCCTGACCCCTCCGTTCTTCGGATTGGAGGCCCCCAACAACAAAGCATTGCCATCTATGCACGTGAAACGTTGTGTATATGGTGGAACAAATCTCATTTTTAAAAATGCTTCTCTCCCCCCGAAAAATATATGCTTCGGGGAAATAACACAGGCTAAAGATTTTTGAACGCGGTCCCCAATTAGTAGTTCTGAGCGAATTTACAGTTCTTTATGTTTTAATGTTATGCTGAACCGAATGATACATATTTAAATACTTCCGAAAAAGTATGACTTCAGGGGATGTACCTCACACTTCGTGTTTTTATGAAGTCAGAAACTTAAGACATACGAGCTTACCAAAAGGCCGCTTCCATGTCAGCATAATTCGCCGAAGGAGAACAATTATTTAAAAAGGTCACTGGAAATATTGCCCTACGGGGACATGTATGAACAAAGCCGGAATGTTTCTGCACAAGTCCAATGTAGATGTACTTAGGTACAACGTTCTGTCTTTCTTAACTCGGCCATATCAGGTTGGGGTAAAAATATAAATGTTTCTACAGAAAATAAGCCTTCACGGAATGTATGTGAGGAGCATGATTTTTTTTTTTCAGAAGTGCGCTCATCAGACATGCTCAAGATCAGTTTCAGCTCTTTATGGTCCTCCGATTCATTGAAGGGAAAATGTTTGTTTTAAAATATTTACTTGAAAAACGTTGCCCCCAGGGCATATATCTAATAAGTAACCATGTTCCCAATGTGGGTATCCCACGAGGTATTTTAATACGAAGTGTCAGCTTTTCCATTCCTATCCTCTTCCAAAGTCACTTTAGAAGTTGAACCACCCTCCCTCCATCTTTCGAACCAAAGATTTCGTGAGACTCCTTGGACTGGGTGACCTCTAAAGGTTCTATGTTGAGGAATTCAACTATCTTACATTATGTTTATGCGGGGAAAGATCGGCTACCGCATGGAAGGCATTCGGGATTCATTCCAGCTGTATCAGGAACTGACCCGATATGACGACTGCTTTGCATCATCTAGCGTCGGTTGTGAGAATCTTCGGTTGAAGGCATTGTCAGATGGTACAATAGATATGCTTGAGGGAAACATGCATTTAATGCTCATCGAATGTCCGACATATGCAGCACGTTATGTGATGAAATGGCACCGTAACTGAGCACCCGCTCATCCGTGTATATTGGTCGTCCAAAGACCTCTTTGAACAGATTGTGAACGTTCTCGAGAATGTTCACGTACTACCTGGCCATTGCGATTTATATAATGCCTGCGGGTTTCAATTGATCCGTCATACGAATGAAGCATCGGGTCCACAAATGCAAAGAAAAAGAAGTTATTGAAATCACAGAACCGAAACGGCGATGAAACACTGAGGGCGCCGATGTCATTTATCGCAGTTCATTTCCCCGACTAGCATCGTTTATTAGTTGAAAATAATAGGGAAGACAGGGAACATGAAGGAAACAGCACAGTCACGATTCAAAAGTCGCCCTTTTTTGTTTTGAATCTTTGGAATCTTGGCAGCAGGTAGGAGGCACTGCAATGAGTGACGCCAGCGTCCCCTTTCGAGAACTACGACAGCTCTTTCTTCCTTGTTCATGCAAAAGATACAAGAGCGAATCCCCGATTTTCAGTAAAAGTTGGCTCTCCTC